TGCCTTGATCTTATACTTCCCAGATTTTAGATCTATGAGAAAAAAATTCCTGATGTTTACAAACTACCCAGTCTCTGATGTTTTGTTATAGAAGGCCAAACTGACTAAGGAAGTAGCCAAGAACAAGCTTTCTGATTTTATTTTCCAGCTCTGCCAATTCCTAGATAGATACTTTTTTGCCAAGTCACGTAATCCCTCAACCTGAGCTACCTCATCTATAAATGTAGATAAATGAATGTCAAGTATAAGCTTAGTCTTGACACTTATTTGCCTGGCACTTAAACACATAAATCTTAGTTATAGGTGTTGCTCCTATAATAATTATTAATATGAAATGAGTCCCAGTATTAAATCAGAGGCATTTGTTATACGTACTACTTAATAGTTAGTAGGAAGAAAATCAATAGTTGTTACATATGAAGATGACTATTGACCTAAGTTAGTTTAAGACAATTGCACCAAAATAGCTATGGCAAATTTCCTGTATCTCTCAATAAGGATCCTAATAAGTCCTTCACCTCACAAAAGGAAATTATCTAGTCTTTTATGAATAATATTTGTGAACAGAAAAACTTTCAATTAAACTAGACTTTATTTCAAACATTACTGTATTTCAGCTAAGATTGAAAAACAATCCATCACATCAAGGCAAAGCAATAGGAATTAAGAAGAGTCCGATATGTTTAAGATTGTTTGATATATTTTTTACATGATCAAGAAAGTGTTGACTAGGCTGGCTTCTTTAGTGTGTAGTTGCACTTAACCATTTTATTTATTAATGATCACCAATGACCTCTATAATTTTGATGTAATGGTTGAACAATCACCCCTTGCACTTGAACTGGAAAAGAGAAGAAAGATAGCCATTTAATTGCCAGTAATTTTCCTCATTATATAAAAGCCCTTCTTTACTACTGGGTAACATAATAATAATGGATAGGTAAAACAGTGATTTTTGTTCACTCAAATTCAGCACCTTGTAACTCAGATTGTTCCTTAAAAGCCAAACTACAAATCCCAAATGGCCTCATATAGCATATAAGCCATAGGGTTGAACAGAGTGTATTTTCAATATTTGTTTAAGAACAAATAAAATGGACCTTGGTACAAGTTGAGGATAAGGGAGCTCTTTCACTTTCTCCTATCCCATTTTATCTTTGTAATAATGTGGTGAACCAGAGCAACACAATCCTATACAACAATTTAGTCCTCTTCTTTTTGTCTTCTTCCCCCTTTCCAGACTTGTACATTCACCCCCATACATGATCTCCTTATTGTATTCTTGGAAGTGACTTGTAATGATAGATCAGGATGAATAATTTTGTTTTTCTGGATGAAAGAGAAAGAAAAACATACAATATGCATTGGTCTTGTTCTGTGGTTTGACTCCCAGCTGCTCCTAAGCAGATCACAGGTGACTAACGTGGGTTTCATTAGAGAAATCTGGGGTATCGAGAAGGTCATACAGTTTCTGGCAATTTCCTTGTGAACTAAACTCAAGTACTTTATTCATGATTGTATCTATTTAAATTCTGGAGCAAGAGAATGAAAGAAAACATAGTTTTAAGAGCTATTTGAAAAACAAATTCCTGGGCTTTGTTCCCAGCCTTATGTCAACTACCTCTATAGACTGGGTGCATGTTAATTAAATTCTTTAAATGTGAAAATGTGCTAAATAAACATATGACAGATTGAACTCACCAGGGGAAAAAAGAGACCTGATTTGGGGTAGGGGAGTGAAAACAGTTATAATAGATTATTGAACGTTTTTCACTCTTACTTTGGGACAATAAAAAGAAAATATCCTTAAGGGGTATATTCCCTTATATACACTGAAAGAGGGGGAGAAGACGGTTAAAAACATCATAAGAAGGTAATAGAATACTGTGATCCATAACCAGTGACTAGAGGTGGGAGGCTGAGTGAGAACAAGGGTGAACCATATAATAATGTAGAGAAAGGCCCTGTGGCTAGAAAAAAAAGAAAGCTAATCTTTCAAGAAAGGAAATAGGATACTGATCTTAGGAGGCAGAGAGCACTGTGGTATAGAAAGCAAGAGACAAGACTGAATAATGAGGTGGACTTATCCCAGAGGAAATGTCAGGAGGAAGAGAAGGTGGGTAGTATTAATGTTGCAGGTAGATAGACTTTATAATACCAAGCCAAGATTGCTGATCCATATGTAGGAGCAGAGACATAATGTAGTCAAAACTTCAGGAATGATTGAAAATGAGATAGAAAATTTACAGCTGTAAGATAATAAGCAAGTCATAAAGTGCTGTTTATCAAGTTGAAAAATAAAACAGTAAAATGTTGAGGAGGTAGATGACAAGACAACATAATGTCCAAATGCAGTTTCAGTCAGGTATTGGAATATGAAAGAAGAGATAAATAGAACCATAACAGAAAGCAAGAGGCACTGAAAATTAAATAATACTCAGGGTGAATGGCAGGACATTACAGGAAGAAATCTGTAGTATAGTAAAAGTGAATGTGGTTCTTAAACATGCATGCTATCTAGGATTTCAATTAAAAAAGACTTCAGAAGCAGGAATAGAACTATTCATATATATGGTTGGTTTATTGAACCTAATAACTCTTTCCCATAATTACCTTAGATGTCCAGTTTGCATTAGCTCTTGCAGAATGAATGTGCACTCCTGCTCAGATCACTCTGCTATCATATTAGCCTCTCCTTCAAGAAAATAATGATAATAGTTTGCATTCCCACTTAAGAGTTTTGAATGCCATCATTCCCCATTATTTCCTTTCAAGGCAGTAATTCCATCCAGCAAGTTTGCTAGTACTGTTACTAGTCCAGACACTTGGGAAACTTACTTTGTTGAGATCAATCACTTAATTCAAGGTTTAAACTTTTTACCAGAATTTTATTTTTTAAAGATTATTTATTTATTTATTTGAAAGAGAGAGTGCACAAGAGAGCATGAGTAGGGGCTGGGGGCAGAGAGCGAAGAAGAAGCAGTCTCCCCATTAGGCAGAGAGCCCAATGAAGGGCTCAATCCCAGGACCCTGGGATCATGACCTGGGTCAAAGGCAGACGCTTAACTGACTGAGCCACCCAGGCACCCCTTGTTACTGGAATTTTAAAGTCATGTTATAAGCTTTTCCTTGTTTATCTTTATTTTACATAAACTTGGACCGTAAATGCTTACAGAGCATTTCGTGAAACACAGATTACAACATTTTTAGTGTTTTACCTAGTTATCTCTTCTGAATTGGCTAGATAAAAGCCATAAACCTTACATAGTAAAGTTTTCTTCTAAATATCAAAATCCCTAAGAGAACAATAATTTGTAGCATCCAGACCAAGATTTCATGTGCAAGATCACCAAGTATCCCACATGGATTCTGTTATTGCTTCATGGCTGCATTGCCAGCTCAGCCTCACTTACTTAATCCTCTGCCTGCCCTGCTTTATGTCACCCAAGCTACCTGATCCACAAAAGAGAGGGGCCTTGGTTTGGAATAAAATTGTCACTTTAAGTGTTTAATCCTAAGTAAAATCAGTAACCCTACCCACAAGCTACCCCAACCAGCCACTCAAGATCAGCCCATCTACTTATTGCAACAACTTGCTTGATATGTTGTTTATTATTATTATTATTCACAATAATTTTTTCAGTATAAAAGTTAATAAGCATTCTTTGCAGAAAAATAAACAGAAAACCACAAAAAGAAAAATGAAGGTGAAGGACTAAAATGGACATTTATCCAAAGGAGATATACAAATGGCCAACAACTATATGACCAGATGCTCAACATCATTGAACAGGGAGATGAAAATCAAAACTATGATGAGAAGGAGAGAAGATAGTGGCAGAGTAGGAGGACCTTAGGCTCAGCCCATCCCATGAACACAACTAGATAACTATCAAATCATTCTAAGCACCCCAGAAATCAACATGAAGACTGAAAGAAAAAAATTCCACAACTAAAGGGAGAGAAGAAACCATATCAAAGAAGGTAGGAAGTGTGGAAACATGGTTAGGGGAGAAATAAATTGCAGGTTCTGTGAAGGGGAGGGAGCCATGGATGCAGAGAAAGGGGAGAGAAGGGGGAGATCATACAGAGGAAGGCAAAATGAGAACATTTCCCCAAAGTCATTGTCTGGGAAAGGAGGGTGGCTGATTTTCATGAGTTCTTGCAACCACCAGGGATTATATATTGGACTTTAAAAGTCAGCAAGTTTGTCTGGGATAGAGCCTTGAGAGCACTGCCCTACTCCTGGAGAGAAAGCAGGCAAACAACCCAGAGGCAAATGGAATGGAAATAGCAATCTGAAGAACACCTGGGCCACACAGTGGGGAGAATATTCACTCTTCTTGGAGCACATCCCTGAGATTCGGAATTACAGACACCTCTCCAAGGACAAAGAAGCTGTCTGGCACCATTTCACTCCCCCACGCCTCAATATAACCAAAGAGCAACCTGCAGGAAGCAACGCAGTGCCAGCACTGGCTGCCTAACCTGCTTACATCAAGTCCCACAATCCTGTGCTCTGACGAGACTACACTTCTCAGTCAAGCTTGCCTCAATCCCAGCATGGTGGACATCTTCTCCAGAAGACCGGAGAAACCCTCACCTACAAACATGTCTCCTGACCAGAGAGTTTCACAGGGCTTCGGTTCTAGTGGAAATAGTATTAGGTCTCATTTAACAAGCAGACCAGAGCCCAACTAGTTAAAACTCACCACATTTTGGTCAAGGACCAAACAATGTCCACTGTAGGCAAGAAGAACCTCTGCAGATGACTGGCCTGAAGGATGGAGCAGCCAAAACACAACAGCAAAGCACACCCAACACACACCAGAGACACTCCCTAAAGTGCCAGGTCCTGGACACTATATGACCTCTTCTTCATAAAGCCATTACTCTCAGGAGCAGGAAATATAATGGGCTTTTCTAACATAGAGAAGAAGGCAGAGACTTAGTCAAAAGGCCAAGACAGAACTCCGGGACAGGGCATGTTCCTTGTTCTGGTCTGCGTTTTGCACTGACCAAGTGCATTTCTTGCCACTGAGGTGTGCCCTGCGGAAACCTGTGCTTCCCTCGCCCAGCCTGTTAAGCGCTGCCCTCCGCGAATATGTCCAAGTCTCTGAAAAAGTTGGTGGAGGAGAGCTGGGAGAAGAACCAGCCGGAAGTGGACATGAGTGACCAGGGCATCTCCAACATGCTGGATGTCAACGGCTTGTTCTCTTTAGCCCACATCACGCAGCTGGTCCTCAGCCACAACAAGCTAACAACGGTCCCACCAAACATAGCAGAACTGAAGAATTTGGAAGTGCTCAACTTTTTTAATAACTAGATTGAGGAGCTGCCCACACAGATCAGCAGCCTTCAAAAGCTCAAACACCTGAACTTGGGCATGAATAGACTAAACACTTTGCCTCGAGGATTTGGCTCCCACCCAGCTCTTGAGGTCCTTGATTTGACTTACAACAACTTGAATGAAAATTCTCTTCCCGGAAACTTCTTCTACCTTACCACCCTGCGTGCACTCTATCTAAGTGACAACGATTTTGAAATCCTGCCACCAGATATTGGGAAGCTCACAAAGTTGCAGATACTCAGCCTTGGAGATAACGACCTGATCTCGCTGCCTAAAGAAATCGGGGAGCTTACTCAGGTTAAGGAGCTCCACATTCAGGGGAATCGCCTGACCGTTCTGCCCCTAGAACTAGGAAACTTGGATTTAACTGGTCAGAAACAAGTGTTCAAAGCAGAGAACAATCCCTGGGTTACCCCAATCGCTGACCAATTCCAGCTTGGCGTGTCCCATGTTTTTGAATATATCCGTTCTGAGACGTACAAATACCTCTACGGCAGACACATGCAAGCAAACCCAGAACCACCGAAGAAAAATAATGACAAATCGAAAAAGATCAGCCGGAAACCCCTGACAGCCAAGAACAAATAAAGGGTTGGCATGGGCTGAACTTCTGGTTGCTTTCCTCATGATGACTTCTGTTCTCTGTTACTGTATCCCACAAATAAATACATGTGTATGTGTTCTTTATTTCTCTTTCTAGAGCTTATCACTTTACCTTTTAAATGTTTTTGGTAGGTGGTAGATTTTTATAAATTCTTAAAACCATGTCCATTTGTTTGCTTAAAAATGCCAAAGGCAGGAAACAAAGCTCTAATTCAACTGCAAATTCTATAGTAGGCACAGAGTTCAGTCCCTTGAATAGATGTTCACAAAGCTGCATGTTATCAAAAGAATAATTAAAACCATGTGATCATTTAAATGTCACAGCTAACACCGTTCACTCTTCTGTTTATTCACATAACTCATTATTTTGCTTTGTTAAAAGCTTGTTAAAAGCTGTAACCATCGAGATATTATGTTAAATAACAAATAATTTTTAATAAAATCTTGAATTTGTATCACAAAAAAAAAGGCCAAGACAGAGGAATTCACCTTAAATGAAACAAGATAAGGTCATGACCCTCTGTGAAACAGATATAAGTAACATGGCTGATGGAGAATTTAAAGCAATAATCATAAGGATACTAGCTGGGCTTGAGAAAAGAATGGAAGACTTCAGGAAGACATTTACCAGAGAGATAAAAGAGTTAAAAAAGAATATCATTAATGAAAAATGCAACAACTGAGATTGGAAACAGGCTTCATGCAATGAACACAAAGATGGAAGAAACAGAGGAATGAATAAGTGATAAAGAAGACAAAATAATGGAATATAATGAAGCGGAACAAAAGAGAGAAAAAAGAATTTTGCAACACAAGAATAGACTTAGGGAACTCAGTGACTCCAACAAATGTAGTAACATTCATAGTAGAGGAGTCCCAGAAGGAGAAATAGAAAAGGGGGACAGAAAATTTATTTGAGGAAATAATAGCTGAAATCTTCCCTAATCTGGGGAAGGAAACAGACATCCAAACCCAGGAGGCACAGAGAACTTCCATCAAAATCAACAAAAGCAAGCCAACACCAAGACATATTGTAAGTAAATTTGCAAAATATAGTTATAAAGAAAAATAATCTTAAAAGCAGCAAGATAAAAGAAGTCTCTAACTTACAAGGGAAAAGCCAAAAAGCTAGCTGCAAATCTCTCAACAAAACCTTGGCAAGCCAGAAGAGAGTGCTGAATGGGAAAAAAAATGCAGCCAATAATACTCTGTCCAGCAAGGCTGTCATTCAGAATAAGAGAAATAGAGTTTCTCAGACAAACAAAAACTTAAGGAATCCATGACAACTAAACCAGTCCTGCAAGAAATATTAAGGGGAACTCTGAGTGGGAAGGAAAGACCAAAAGTGACAAAGACAAGAAAGGAACAAAGAAAATCTCCAGACCCGATGACAAAGCAAGTAAAAAATGGCACTAAGTGTATATCTATCAATAATTACTCTGGATGTAAATGGACTAAATGCTCCAATCAGAGGGTGTCAGAATGGATAAAAAAAATAGGACCCATCTTTATGGGTCTACAAGAGACTCATTTTAAACCTAAGACACCTGCAGATTGAAAATGAGGGGATGGTGAAACATTTATCACACAAATGGATGTCAAAAGAAAGGCAAAGTGCAATACTTTTATCAGACAAACTAGACTTTAAACCAAAGACTGCAACAAGAGATGAAGAAGGGCACTATATCATAATAAAGGGGACAATCCAACAAGAAGTTCTAACAACTGTAAATATTTATGCCTCCAACTTGGGAGCACCCATATATATAAAACAATTAATAACAAACATAAAGGAACTCCTTGATAATAATATAATAATAGGGGACTTTAGCACCCCATTTACATCAATGGACAGATCATCTACGCAGAATATCAACAAGCAAACAATGGCTTTGAATGACACACTGGACCAGATAGACTTAACAGATATATTCAGAAGATTCCATTCTAAATCAGCAGAATACACATGCTTTTTTAAGTGCACATGGGACATTCTCCAGAAGGTATCATATATTAGGTCATGAAATAGGCATCAACAAATACAAAAAGATTGCAATCATACCATGCACGTTTTCTGAGCACAATGGTATGAAACCAGAAGTCAGCCACAAGGAAATATCAACCATAAGAAGACCACAAATAGATGGAAGTTAAACAACATGCTACTAAACAATGAAGGGGTTAACAGGAAATCAAAGAAGAAATTAAAAAGTACATTGAAAGAAGTGAAAATGAAAATAGAACAGTCCAAAACCTTTGAGATGCAGCAAAAGTGGTCCTAAGAGGGGAGTATCTAGCAATATAGGCCTACCTTAAGAAGCAAGAAAAATCTCAAATAAACAACCTAACCTTATACCTAAAGGTCCTAGAAAAAGAACAACAAACAAAACCTAGAGCCAGCAGAAGGAAGGAAATAATAACTATTAGAGCAGTAATGAATGATATAGATATTGAAAAAAAAAACACAAGATCAGAGACAATGGGAGGTAGTTCTCTGAAAAAGTTAATAAGGGGCACCTGGGTGGCTCAGTTGGTTAAGTGTCTGCCTTCAGCTCAGGTTGTAATCTTGGGGTCCTGGGATCCAGCCCTGCAACAGGCTCCCTGCTCAGTGGGGAGTCTGCTTCTCCTTCTCCCTCTGCCCTTCCCCCTTGCTCATGCTCTCTCTCTCAAATAAATAAATAAAATTGTTCAAAAAAGTTAAAAAAAACTGATCCTCTAGCCAGACTTATCACAAAGAAAAAAGGAAGGACCCAAATAAATAAAATAACAAAAGAAGGAGGAGAAATAACGACCAAAAGTGCAGAAATATAAAGTATATGAGAATATTATGAAAAAGTATATGCTAAAAAATTGGACAACCTAGAAGAAATGGATAATTTCCTAGAAACATATAAAGTACCAAAACTGAAACAGGAAGAAATCGAAAACTCGAACAGACCATTAACCTGTAAAGAAATTGAATCAGTAGTCAAAAAACTCCCAAAGAACAAAAGTTAAGACCAAATGGTTTCACAAGTAAATTCTACCAAACATTTAAAGAAGAGTTAGTACCTATTCTTCTCAAAATATTTCAAATAATAGAAATGGAAGGAAAACTTCCAAATTCGTTCTATGAGACCAGCATTACCCTAATACCAAAAATAGATAAAGACTACACTAAAAAAAGAGAACTACAGGTTAATATCCCTGATGAACACAGATGCAAAAATTCTCAATAAATACTAGCAAGCCAAATCCAACACTACATTAAAAGAATCATTCACCACGATCAAGGGTGATTTATTTCTGGGCTACAAGTGTGGTTCAATGTTCACAAATCAATCAACATGATACACTACATTAATAAAAGAAAGGACAAGAACCATATAATCCTTTCAGTAGATGCAGAAAAAGCGTTTGACAAAGTACAACATCCATTCATGATAAAAACCCTCAACAAAGTAGGCTTAGAGGGAACATACCTCAACGTAACAAAGGGCTTATATAATGAAAAACCCACAGTGAACATCATCCTCAGTAAGGAAAAACTGAGAGCTTTTCCTCTATGATCAAGAGCAAGTCAGGGATCTCCACTCTCACCACTGTTACATGATATAGTACTGGAAGTCCTAGCTACAGCAATCAGAAAACACAAGGAAATAAAATGTATTTAATCTGGCAAGAAAGAAGTAAAACTTTCACTATTTGCAGAGGACATGATACTATATATAGAAAACCCAAAAGATTCCACTAGGAAATTGCTAGAACTGATACACAAATTCAGTAAAATTCTAGGATACAAAATCAACATACAGAAATATTGCATTTCTGTACGTCAATAATGAACCAGCAGAAAGAGAAATCAAGGAATCAATCCCATTTACAATGTCACCCAAAACAATAAAATACCCAGGAATAAACCCAACCAAAGAGGTGAAAGACCTATGCTCTGAAAATGATAAAACACTGAGGAAAGAAATTCAAAATGACACAAAGAAATGGAAAAACATTCCATGGTCATGGATTAGAAGAACAAATATTGTTAAAATGTCTCTACTATCCAAAGCAATCTACACATTTAATGAAATCCTTATCAAAATATCACCAGCATTTTCCACAGAGCTAGAACAAACAATCCTAAAATTTGTATGGAACTACAAAATATTCCAAATAGCCGAAGCCATCTTGATAAAGAAAAGCAAAACTGGAGGCATCACAATTTCAGACTTCAAGTTATATTATAGTCTCAAGTAATCAAAACAGCATGGTACTGGCACAAAAACAGACACACAGATCAAGAGAATAGACTAGAAAGCCGAGAAATAAACCCAGGATTATATGGTCAATTAATCTTTGACAAAGCAGAAAAGAATATCCAATGGAAAAAAGACAATCTCTTCAACAAATATTGTCGGGAAAATTGGGTAGCAACATGCAAAAGAATGAAACTAGACTACATTCTTACACCATACACAAAACAAAGTTCAAAATTGATTAAAGAACTAAATGTGAGACCTGAAATCATAATGATCCTAGAGGAGAACACAGTAATCTGTTTGACATCAGTCATAGCAACTTCTTTCTAGATACGTCTCCTGAGGCAAGAAAAACAAAAGCAAAAATAAACTATTATGACTTCATCAAAATAAAGAGCTTCTGCACAGTGAAGGAAACAATCAACGAAACTAGAAGGCAATATATGGAATGGGAGAAGATATTTGCAAATGACATACCTGATAAAAGGTTAGTATACAAAACATAGAAGAACTTGTAAAACTCAACACCCAAAAAACAAATAATCCGATTAAAAAATGGTAGAAGATATGAATAGATATTTGTTCCAAACAATTCATGGAGATGACCATAGACACCTGAAAAGGTGCTCAAGATCACTGATCATCAGGGAAATACAAATCAAAACTACAATGAGTTACCACCTCACACCAGTCAGAGTGGCTAAAATTAACAACACAAGAAAAAACAGGTGTTGGTGAGGATGCAGAGAAAAGAGAACCCTCTTACACTGTAGGTGAGAATGCAAACTGGTGCAGCCGCTCTGGAAAACTCTATGTAGGTTCCACAAAAAGTTAAAAGTAGAACTACCCTATGATCCAGCAACTGCACTACTAGATACTTACCCAAAAAACACAAAACACTAATTTGAAGGAATACATGCACCTTGATGTTTATAGCTGCATTATCAACAATAGCTAAATTATGGAAAGAGCCCAAATGTCCTTCGACTAATGAATGGATATATACATTTCTATATATAATAGAATATTACCTAACCATAAAAAAGAGTGATATCTTGCCATTTGCAATGACATGGGTGGAGCTGGAGATTATGCTGCTAAGTGAAATAAGGCAGTCAGAGAAAGACAAAGACCATATGATTTCACTCATATGTGGAATTTAAGAAACAAAACAAATGATCATAGAGGAAAAAAGGAGAGAGGCAAACCAAGAAACAGAC